CCCTCCTCTCTCTGGCAGGTGGTGAAGGATGAACCCCTTGCTGTGCCAGCTGGGAACCCACTCATGACTCCTCAGAAGGGAAACACGCTTGACAGCAGCCTGCACAAAGACCTCCTGGGCGCCATCTCAGGCATCGGTAATGACCTTGCTCCGACTGGCCCTGTCCTGTGTCATTGACACTACCCTTACCATCACAGTGAATAGTGAGTTAGGACTGGGGTCTTCTGCCTTGGAAGGTTCTGTTGTGGTATCTTCCAACCTGTAGTCAGGATTCCCATAAATCTGACAGGGCAGTTCGGACACGCTGCTCTGCCGCCTTTTGTCAACGCTTCTGTAGTTGATGGGCTTTAAATCCTCCTGATGCTTTTAGCGGCAGACGGTCTGCAGGTGTTGGGGTGAGGGGAGGCTGGGTGAGTGTTGCAGTCTTGTTCCTAGGTCTGAAGGAGGTAACAGACTGTAGCTGAAATTCCATCCTAAAAAATGCTTTTCGGAAATCTTCTCTTCTGTACTTCTCTTCCAGCCCTATGGGAAGGAAAGCAGATGGCATAAATCAAGACTCAGATAGAGAGGCCCTGTCTGTGGGAGATGCACCTATTTCTATCTGACTAATTAAATCGCAGCTTTATAAAGATGATGAAGAGCCAAATGGCAGCGTATAAATGCATGCACACACAGATAGAATCATAGGACTTTACTTGGGGTTCACGGTCTGATTCTGCCTCTGGTCCCCTCTGCTAACCATGCCTCCTACTGTGGCAGTGGTCACAGCGCCCATTAATGCCACAGATTTGTGGTCAGGAAGACACATGCCTTTTGACCACTGAATTCACAGGACCAAGCATGAGTCCTGAATCCATTCACACCTTCTCTGTTGTTCGTACATTATCACATGGAGACAGCAATGACAGGAGACCGTGACACGGGGAAGCCCCTGCCAGGGTCTAGACTTACCCTGCACCCCAGTTCTAGTCCTGAAGTGCATTTGCGTTCGAGGATAACCTCATGGTCATATCCCCTTTATAATGTATGTTGTATTATCTATGGAATTACGCTGACTGCTGGAGTCTCCTGGGGCCTGCATTCGTGCTCCAGTCCCACCCTGCACTGGTACGAGGCTGCCGCTGCCAGTGGGGAGGCCATCTTTACACTGTTTCCCCGAAGTGCATCAGTGCAAGCTTAGCTCTGACCGGGCGGCTTCGCGTCCGCTCCTGCGAGGCATCCTGCGGCCTTCGTGTCCTTGTCTCCAAGCTAGCGCTGTCAGAAGTGAAAGGCTGCTGCAGGGTGCAGGGTGGACGCCGTGGGAAATGTGCTGTCTTTGTTATGGCTAGCTCACTTGTGGCGTCTGTGGTTTGTTAGGCCCAGTGGAAGAGCCTACAAGCCTGGCTGTGTGCTTGGAACTCTCCCTGCTCTGTCCTCTGGCCGCAGGAAGGCAAGGCAGACTGTGGGGATGATCAAGCCACAGCGAGGGCTGTTTGGCTCACTGGATCTGAGAATTCACACGATGGCAGCAGGAGGACCTGCGCTGCCCAGCACGCGTGCTGCCTGATGTGGTCTCCTCGTTCTTTACCGGACTTCCAGAAGCTTAGCACAGCTGGCTTCTTTACACTCTTTGTCAGCGTGTGTTCCTGACGGCACCGTCCTTGTTCTTAGAAACATCTCCCAGGGAAGCACCGCCCACAAAGCAGGCTCCCTGGGTTTGGGTTTGGGTTTTGTTCTGAATGCTGCTGCAGCTGCGCCTCACGGAGCTCCCGATGACTTCATCCTTCCAGGCAAATGTGAGGAGGGTGTAGTATCTGGGGACAGCCTTCTGGGGACAAGCCCCTCACATGAGAATTCCTGGATAAAAAGCATTCTGGGATCCCTTCCCTGTTAGGAAACACCCCTCTTAGGTTCAGAGTTCCCCTCCCACCTGCTCCATATTTGGCTGTTGGTACAGATGGAAGCCAGCTGAACCAAGCTTTATTTCATTCGTATGTTGTTTAAGACCCTTAAAACTCATTCCCTGGGCTGGAGAGAAGGCTCAGTGCACTTGTTACTCTTGCACAGGACCCGAGTTCAGTTCCCAGCACCCATGGCAGTCTGCTGCCCTCTTCTGGCCTCTGTGGGCAGGTGCACATACATGCCAGCAAAACAGCCATACACATAAAAAATAATAATTTTGAAGTCATTTCTTGCATAAGTAACATTATGAAACTCACCACTGTATTAACTTATGAATAGTAATATTAAATTATTAATATTATTAAAATATCACATGGATAGTAATAAAAATAGGTTTTGGTTGGTTGGTTGGTTGGTTGGTTTGGTTTTGCTTTGGTTTTGAGACAGGGTTTCTCTGTAGCCTTGGCTGTCTAAGACTCGCTTTGTAGACCAGGCTGGCCTTGAACTCACAGTGATCTGACTGCCTCTCCACAAGTGCTGGGATCACAGGTGTGTGCCACCACGCCCAGCTTAAGAATAGTTTTTAAAAATACTTGGAAATTTTAAAAAGTAAAGTCATTACCTGGGCAGGGACACAAACACACGTTCTCAGAACAAAGCAGTAAGTTGCTTTTGAGCCATTACGCTTGCACCTGTCTGCCTCAAGCGAGGACTACAGTTGTGATCGGTTTAAAAATCTGGGAATGACGGGCACAGTGCACAGTTCTCGGCCCCGTTCACCCGAGCCTCGCGTCCTGCCCCCACTGCACGCCATGATTATCCTGTGCTCAAAGCGTGCAGTTCTTCTCTCTCCCTGGAGGTGGTATCCCTTCTTCACAAGGTTTTCACCCATTGTGACATTCTGCATGCTAGGGTCATGCAGCCGTGCATGCTGGGGAGGGAGGAGGATTTACGTGTGTGTCACGCATCTTTCATCGTCAGGGTGATTAGAGGTGATGAACTTAGGCCATTAGGCACGAAGCAGAGATGACTTGTTCTGTGCGTCCAGCTGCCCAGCCGTCTCTCCATGTGACGTGGCCTGTGTGAGCCAGCCCTTTCTCCCGCTGAAATCCGCACTGGCCTGTCGTGGTGTTCAGTAGCGTGTTTGGGGCTCGGTTCCTCGGGGCTGTGCGCACGGCTGCCCACAGGGGCAGGATCTGCTCTGATGACGCCGCACAGCCTCGACTTTCTGCCAAAGGCCTGTTGGCTACAGAAGCCAAGTCCAAAGAGTCATTTTTGCTGTGCAATTTATTAATCTTATCTAAGCAGGAAGCCAGTTCGTTTCCGTAAGAAACTCCACAGTTCAGAGACAGAGGCCAGTTCCTACCTTCAGATACTTGTAAAAATTCATTTCCAAGTGAGATTTTCCTCCTTCCTCTTTGAACAACAGACTTTGCCAATATTTCCAGTTTACAGATGAAGGGCAGATCTAACTGTCATAATAATTTTTTTGGTATCTCTAAGTCAACTAATAACATCGCTTTTTTGAATTTACTGTCTGTTTACAGCCCTGTGATTTCCGGCCTTAAAAAACAGTGCTTACATACCAGCCACTTAGTAGGTCTTCCAAACCAAGTGCATGAACTTAAGGAAAACACTTTCGCCCTCCTCTTAGTGACTACAGCTGTGATTGGTGTCGCGCACACTTGCTGGATATTTACTTTCCGTACTTTGGAATCACATTGCTCACTGCCTTCACTTCTGTTCCGCACTGTTGTCCAGAGCTTGCTTTTTACCCTAGCAGAATACCGAAATTCCAGCTACCAGCGGCAGGAAGCTCTGACACCAGCAGAAGGCGACAGCACAGTCGTTTGTCCCGTGCAGTTTCTGGCCGTGCCAAGAATCACCGTGGGTCCCTAAGTTGTTACATGTCCCACGCGCTTCCTGGAAACCCCGTGGGGCAGCTCCGCCTCCGCACTGCACATTATCAGTTCCTGACGTATCCCTCTTTGATTAAAGGTTGAAGTGGACTTATCCTTTTTTCTTTTTGAATCCCGCTCTGAGATAATGTATGCTGCTTTAGTCTGAGCAAGCAACGGTAGCTCCAGTATGTGAATTAGCAAGGTTTGTGTGAAAGGTGATTTTGACGTGACCCTGTACTCACCTGATTCTTCAAAAGCTGATGTAGCCGAGAGACTGGAGAGCTGGCTCAGGGGGAAGACCCCTGGCTGCTCTTGCAGAGGACCAGGTTCAGTTCCTAGCATCTGCGTGTCAGCGCACAACCGTCTGTGACGCCCCCTGGCCTCCACAGACGCTGCGCACGTGTGTGCGTACATGCTGGCAAACACTCGCACGCATAGAATTAAAATAGTCTTATAAATGTGAAGTAATTGATAGTAACTCTCAAGTAATGTTCTGACTTTTAAAAAACCCTCAAAACATTTCTCTTAAAACTTAGTACTTCTCTTCATTTTGTGCTGTCTAACCAAAACCTGTTCTTGCTCTGATTTCCATTTAGCATCTCCGTACACAGCTTCAACCCCCAACATCAACAGTGTGAGAAATGCCGACTCCAGAGGTTCCCTCATCAGCACAGACTCGGGGAACAGCCTTCCGGAAAGGAACCTGGAGAAGAGCAACTCCCTAGAGAAGGTGATTTGTGTTTCTGATGGCTCTCATGTGCAGCTGGTGTCCTGCCCACCTGTGACCTTTGTTACCTGTGACCTTTGGGAGTTGTTTAAACTCCTTAGTGTGCAATAGATGACAAGACTGTGGGATTGTGGGATTGTGGATTCCTTTGTCGTCGTCACCATTTGCATGTCTGCTGGTGACTTCGAGCCAGAGCTTCTGCTTGTCAGGCCAGGCTGTCACGGAGTCCCCTGAGGCTCCTGTTGCCAGGGTCTGGGCCCAGGCAGCGTCTGCAGCGAAGCAGGGTGGCATCTTGGAGTCTCTAAGCCTCTTAGGTCAGGCCAAAACAGACGGCTTCTCAGTCCTGAGCCGCGGCTGAGCCCGGCCACCACTAACACCTCTTTCTTCCTCCTGAGTCTCTCCCCAACTGTTTCCTGCTGCTGCAGCCTCAGCTGTCTGGAACTTCGCAGGAAAAGAGAAAGGTTGATAGTAACCTGAACCCTGGGAGACTGGCATCCCCTGGGGCTCTGTGTCCCTAAGTTACTTCAAGTTTTCTGCCAATAAACGGTCGAGCCGTTCGGAGAGCTGTTTCTCGTTCCCAGAGCAGCCTCAGCCCGGACTCCGGCCGGTGCCAGTGCCCTTACCTTTAGGCACACGTGTGCGGGCTGCCCGGCTCTGTCCGACCTGCCAACCTTTCCCCTTGACTCCGCCACCCTCCGTGTGCAGAGGGACCAGCTGCTCCGGAGGCACTCTGCCTGTGTCGCCCACAGTGCTGCAGAGGACAGCTGCCAGCCAGCCAGGAAAAACCGCGCCACCATGGACTTCTCCCTTCTGACAGCTCCGCCGCTGCCAGAGGAGACTGTGCCCGCCGCGCCCCTCTGCTCCCCACGAGAAGTACCGGCTTCTCTCGCAGCTCTTGCTTCGGTTGGAGGGCTCGAGGCTCACCGTGCCTTTTACCGCTAGTGGCAGCCGCAGCTAGGCCTTAGGGAGAGGCAGCACGCGTCCTGTCGGCTGAGCCTTCTCTGGATGCATTAGTCCTGGTTGACTACACCTGGAAAGAATCTTTTTTCTATGTTTTTTTTTTTTTTTTCATTTGGTATTTGGCAAAAAGGAAAGAAAAGAAAGTTCTTGATATAAATTGGAAACACATCCCGAGGATTATTTTTAATCCTATATTCTTAACGGGAGCTACAAGCCTTACCCGGTTCGCTGTGAGCCTGCTGCTTCCTAGTGGTAAAACGGCCCTCTGCCCGTCCTCAGCCCAGCCCGAGCTGCTGCCAGGCCACGCTGACGGCAGACCTCATCACTTTAGGGTGGTTTGCGCTGGCGTGCTCCTGTCAAGTGTGTCACGGGTGCCCTGGGTGGTGTCCTAAGGGCAGGCCTGAGCCTCAGGCGTCTGGGGCTGTGTAGCGGCCCCACAGGCTCCTGGCTGTTCTTAGCGGGTGCATGCACGACACCTTTGCAGCCCTCCTCCCACCTGGAGCCTCGTGCATGGGGCTTTTCTTTCCTTTCTTTTGCATGAGATTTTACAAGGACGCCACCTTCCCGATAGCATAATGAAAACTGCTATTCGGGTGAGAAGGGCTTGTGCCTTCTGGCTTGTCCCCTGGCAACGGACAGAGGTGCCAAGTCAGAGCTGGAGGTGCCGTGGGTGTGTGTGTTAGCCATGAGGGGTGTCTCTGTGGACTTGTACCTTCGGGTTACCTGTTCTTGGCAGTTTGTACATCTGACTCGGCTAAGGGCTCTTCTCTGAGGGAGATGTGTGCCTCATGGAACGGAAAACTGACCTCGGTTCCTTTTAGCATCAGCAGAGCGGCACGCTGGGAAATTCCGTAGTTCGCTGTGACAAACTGGACCAGTCTGAGATCAAGAGCTTGCTGATGTGTTTCCTCTATGTGTTGAAAAGCATGTCTGATGGTAGGTAGAATTAAAACAGCTGTTCTGTTTTCATTGTTCAAGTTATTTTAGATGGCATTACTTGAAAATTTCAAATATTTAAGAAAAATTCTTCCTCGTTTCTCAATGTGTATTAATTTGCTAAATGCAGTAGAAATAGAAGCCCTAATGTGAAGAATCAGTTACTTCTAGAAAACAAATCTAAAATGGAAATGTTTTTTTTTTTAAATCTAGGATTTAATATAGCATGTTTTAGCAGTGTTTAGCCTTTTGCTTTTCCACTTTGATGAGCACCTGAGCACTGTACTGTCTCGGGCCCCTTCCTTCTTTAGTGGCCTGAATCCAGAGCCAGGACTCCAGGGTGCTGCTGGCATCGGCTGCCCGGCCTGATGTGCGCTAGCACCAGCCCATCTGAGCCCAGAGCTCACACCCTTAGTGTCAGTCAGGAGTCACACCTGCCATAGAGCCACATCCACTCAGAGGCAGACTGCTCTCAGCCGTATGCTTTCTGGAGCCAGTGGGAGGTGCGCTGAGCTTCCCTGAGCCCCTGGATTTCATCTGTAAGAGCACAGTGGTCCATGCGGGCTCCGAGTGAGAACTGGAGGGCAGCATCCCCGGAAACCCAGGCGGCACCCTGAGCGGCCTAGCATGGCTTCTTGCTGTGTGTCTCATGTCTTCCTTGACCTCTGCCCCTGACAAGTGTGCAAGCAAGAACACAGGCCACAGTCGTGGGTCTCTCTGTTCATCCAGGCTCTGGGGAGTCAGCCGTTCTTCTGGAGGGAGATCTCTTTGCCCGGTTTTCAGCTTTGTGGAAAAGATAGCTGAAGTGTTTGCATATCAAAGAAAAGTGCTTCTGGTAGAGTGCCCAGCTGAGGGTTCACACCAGGATTTCAAGGGTGTGTGGTGCTCAACCTCCACTTTCACGTTCAGTAATTCCTCCTATAGATGTGGCTGGTTTGCACAGGTGAAAGGCAGGTGACAGGATGGTCAGCAAGGCATGCTTCTAGCGGGGCAAGCTTGGGAAGAACCCAGCATGTAGGAGTACAAGGGCAGCCAGTGCCAGCAGCACCCCTGGAGTCCTGGCTCTGGATTCAGGCCACTAAAGGAGGGAGCCCGAGAGAGCCCAGTGCTCAGGTCCTCATCAAAGTGGAAAAGCAAAAGGCTAAACTCTGTTAAAACATGCTATATTAAACACTGTGTTTTAAAAACCCCATTTCCATTTTAGATTTGTTTTCTAGCAGTAGCTGATTCTTCACATCAGGGCTCCTGTTTCTACTACATGTAGAGCACAGTCAGTAGAAGCTGCGTGATTCCGTTACGGAATCCCCGTAGAGCACTCTGCAGCCAAGAGCCAGTCTATTGTTCCTTTAAAGCCCAGAGGCGGGGCTAGAGAGGTGGGCCCCGCCGTTAAGAGTGTGTGCTGTTCCAGCAGAGGACCTGAGCTCACTTCCTAGCACCCACGCGGCAGCTCATACTAGCCTGTAACTCCAGCTCCAGGGACGAGCTGCTGTCTGGCCTCCGAAGGCATCTATCCGACATAGACACATGTGATACACATAATTAAAAAGGAAATAAATCAGCCGGGCATGGTGGCACACGCCTGTGATCCCAGCATTCAGGGAGGCAGAGGCAGGCGGGTCTCTGTGAGTTCGAGGCCAGCCTGGTCTACAGAGTAAGTCTAGGACAGCCAGGGCTACACAGAGTAAACCCTGTCTCAAAAAGCAAACACAAACAAACAAAAGACATGAATAGAAAGTAACTTTAAAAACAAAACAGCATATGTTTTTATTTTTAACAAATTCCCTGAAGAGGAGGAAAAGGTTCTATAGAAGGAGGTAGAGAGGCTGATTTGGGTTATTATGGCCTCTTGCATTTAAGAGCACATTATGTACAAGCTGAATAATCCAGCACTGGGTAATTTATTATTAAAGCTCTGGAGTTGAGATGTTCTTGAAGTTGAATGAGTCCGCTATGTGTGTTAGCCAGGAGAGCCCCCTAGCGTGGTCTGCCTCTCGGTCAAATGTAAACAGGCAGCGTGGAGACCCGCACGCTGAGGTCTCTCCCCAGGGTTACAACGAGCGATTGTCTAATGTGTGCGACGTGTCCTGTGATTCTGACCAAGTACATGCTTGTTTTAGATGCCCTGTTTACGTACTGGAACAAGGCTTCAACCGCTGAACTGATGGATTTCTTCACGATATCTGAGTGAGTGCTTTGTCCTCACCTGTCCCCTGTTCATCTCTCCAGCTGGGCGGGTGAGGGACCCTGTCCTCAGGGCAGGAATGCAGGGTGGCACACAGCTTCCTGCACGAGCCGCTCCATAGTGGCCAGCCCAAGGACGTTGTCAGTTTGTCTGCTGAGGTAGCTGAGCCCCAGCCACTTGGATAAAACTGCACAGAATGTTTGCAGTGGCTGCTGGTTTTCTGCGTGAGATCTAGAACCTAGCTTATGTCTTCAGGAAGAGTTTCTGATTTCCTTTAAGCTCTTTCTTTTTAGAAACACGGACACTTAGCACTGTATCTACAGGTGCTGAGTTCAGGTAGCTTTTCAAACTCAGAATTGAGGCTATTTTTGAAATTTTACACCTCGTGTTTATTAACCCACAATAGCTACAGTCCCCACCCTTGATCAAACGCATTTTTATATTCATGGTGAAAGGAAAAAGCTTTTCCGTTCTGTTATTGGTTACTCAGTTTGCAATTGAATACATCATGGTGTAAGCAGCTTTGTTAGTTTCTGTGTCTGTGTGAGCCACACTTGAAGGGACTCAGATTGAAGCCTTGTTCTCTGGGCTCTGTGTGTCCTGGAACTGAGGGAAAGAAAGCCTGTGGGCCCACTGGAGGAATGGTTCAGTCCTGTGAGCACTCCTGTGGCTGACTTCAGCAGAAACTGTCCCATGAAAACCAGGGAGTCTCAGGTTAGCTAACTAAAATGCATGGTTTTTAAGGATTAGAGGTTTGTGGTTCAACTCAAAAACCACAACAGAGAGTTTTGATGCCTGTAAAGGGACCATTTCATATGCTTGATCCAAGAGAGAGAGCTCCTGTATAGATAAGGCAGGCCTGTGGAGATGAGGCAGGCTTGTGTAGACAGTGGCCTGTGGAGATGAGGCAGGCTTGTATAGACGAGGCAGGCTTGTGTAGACAGTGGCTTGTGTAGACAGTGGCTTGTGTAGACGAGGCAGGCTTGTGTAGACAGTGGCCTGTATAGATGAGGCAGGCTTGTGGAGATGAGGCAGGCCTGTGGAGACAGTGACCTGGAAGGCCCAGCACTCTGAGGCATGCTGGCTTGGAGCAAGGCTGGCCATCCTGAGCGGTGAGTGACTAGCTTTTATTCCGTTCTGCTCTATTTGTGACCTCGGTTCTGCGGCCACACGTGTGGGCTTCTGCTGATGCATTAGTGCTTTTCTCTGGGTGAAGAAGGGCCTTCTAGAACGTTCCTGGAGGCCGAGGGCTGAGGGCTGGTGGTCAGTGCAGCGCTGCTGTCAGGGGAACAGTGGGCTGAGCACGCTGCTGTCAGAACAGTGGGCTGAGCACGCTGCTGTCTGACTTTCCCTGATTCCCTGTTTCAGAGTCTGCTTGCACCAGTTCCAGTACATGGGGAAGCGCTACATCGCCAGGTACCGTGGGGCGTGCTGTGACGTGCTGTCCTGTCTGGGGGGAGCTGTGTGTCCATGCTCATCCAGCCGATGGGCAGCTGGGGCGTGCGTGAGCCTCTTGGACCTTAGGCCGGTGCCACAGAGGCGGTCCAGGGGTCTGGCCGGCGTTCCTGCGCTCCGGGGTCTGGCTTTGTCTGCTGTTCCCTGCCAGATTGTCTTTACTGCGTAGCTGCTGACTTCCTCCAGTTCCCCTCCAGCCTCCAACCCTTCACCCCTTCTCTTTTTCTCCTGGACTGGACTCCCTGTTCTCCTCCCCTAGGGAGGCCTTGACCCTGGCCCTGCCCCACACAGAACCAGGCCACATTCTCACCTAGCCTCTCTTTTTTTTTTTCCATAATTAAGAGGATGTTTTTATTCTACCTCAAATCTGTGTGAATTTTCACTGGCCTTAGAAATGGAGCTTTTCCTTTCCGACCAGTCAGTGATCTCGTCCCCAGAACTCTGTGGACTCTGTCCCCACTGACCTGCCTGACAGCAGAGAGGCCACAGCCCCTTTGCTGGGGCTCTTCCTCCCAGCCCCCTTCTCCTTACCAGGCTCTTCCCCTGCCCACAGCCTTTGTGTCTGTGGAGTGTGTCTGTGTCCGGGGAGGGAGGGCAAGGGCGTCAGTCTTCTAGTATTTTCAACAGTGTGATTATAAGTAAACTGCGTTTGTTTGAAGAAAGTCTGCCGAGCTCTTTTTAATTGCGAAGTATTTTCTGTGGTGTGCAGCAGTGAGATGAGCAGGCAGTAGGAAACACCATGGGTGTGCTTGGCTTTAAAGCCGTCCCATCCCCCTGGGGATGCAGCAAAGGACTTTTCAAGATCTTGTTTCATGTGAAGAAATGAAGGCTTGTGTCCTCTTTTAAAAAGAAACAAATTTACTGAGATCATTTTGCACTTTTCTTTTTAATATTGTTTTAACTAAAATGTGGTCATTCTGAAGTTTCCTATTAACCTCAGTTTTTATCACCACTGTAATGTCACGTTTGTTTCCAAGTGTAAAATGCAAGTATATCCAAGGTGCCTTTTCACCAGTCAGCGTGCCCTGACTTCCACCCACCCGCCCGCACCGCAGAGGTGTCGAGCCAGGCAGCCGCTAACCACCCAGAAGCCGTGTGCTCGGCGCCGCCTCCTTGGCCATCACATGTCAGCGAGGCCTTCGGAGCCCGCGAGGCCCTGTAGGAGAAAGCGCCTGAGCTTAAACCATGACCGTGGGAAGCTGACAGCTTCTTCCCTGTATTTTAGAACAGCTTGTGAGGTGGTTTTTCCCCTCCCCATGGTGGACGTGGGGTTAGCGTGTTCAGGAGATGTTGTGTCACCCTGGAAGCCCCTGTATATACTTGCACAGAACATCACTGCCTGCAGCTGGGCGGCGGGAGGCAGGTTGCGGTCCATGTCTTTCTTCCTTGCGCTGTGGAGAGGCACATCCTGCTTTCCTCGGAAACTGTCATGGTCCCTGCCGCATGTGACCAGATCCCGAACCATGACATGAGCGTCGGTGTTGGCCCTGCACAGCAGTGTGGGTGTGCGAACACTGTGCCTTCTCGTTGTCCCTGGGAAGTCACCAGCATGCTGGTGGTGAGGTCCCTGCATGGCCCTGTTCTTGTACACATGGCGAGGGGCACGGTTGGCTGTGGGAGCGGGCGGTGGTACCCCGCACTAGCCTGTCGTGCCGCGCCGGAGAGGTGTACGGTAGAGAGGGAGCCTCGGGAGTGCTAACCTCCACACTTTCTGTTTTCTCCGCTTGACAAGTTAACAAAGCGTGCGGCCTTCCTGCTGGGTAAGAGAAGCTGCCTGACTGCCTGCCTAACCCACTGCATGCCTGGCCTCTCCTCCTCTGGTGACTTGTTTGATCAGAACACTGGCTTGCTCGTGCTGCATATGATTCGGAGGGCCTGCAGTGCTCCCTGAGTGGCCAGGGTGCTGGCTGCCGCCCCCACGCTCAGCGATGCTCTTTGAAATGTCGCATCGCGCACACTTCCTTGCAAGGGAAAGGCTCTCTGCCCCGGCTTGGCGTTCGCTCCTGTGAGGCCTGGTGGCTTTGCTGTGTGCTGTGTCGGAGCTGCCGGCTGTGTGTCCCTGGCCGCTTGGCTGCATGTGCCCCAGCTGCCCCCGTGTGAGCCACTAATGCCCCACATCGCTTGGTGTAAGGCGTCTAACTTTGCCTCTGTCCCGTCTCACTCGTGTTACAGGAACCAGGAGGGGTTGGGACCCATGGGTCATGACCGAAAGTCTCAGACATTGCCTGTTTCCCGTAACAGAACAGGGATGATGCATGCCAGACTGCAACAGCTGGGCAGCTTGGATAACTCTGTCGCTTTTAACCACAGTAAGTCCCACGCCGTCCGTCGTCACAGCCATCTCTGTGCCGTCTCAGAAGGGAGAGCCCGGCCACACCGTGCCACATGACCACCTTGATTTTTCTTCCAGAGCAAAGCAGATAGGAAGAAGAGTGCCCTCAGGAGCGTCCTGAGTGCGGGGGACAGCATGTGCAGCCGGCCAACGATGGCGCCATCCAAAGTGCCCTAACGCAGCAGTCAGCAGGCCGGAGGGCCAGGCAGCGGCCCGGATTTTAAATTTGACGCCTGCATTTGTTTTCTTTTCTTTTCCCCTCTGCTCCTCCTGGCACATCCGGGTCAGATGGTTTGCCTCTCTTGCTAGGCGCTCGTCGTTGGCCGAGCACCCACATGCTGACATCCTGCCTGCAAACGAGTGTTAAGCCCTGAACCGGTTTGTGAGGCTGTGGAAAGCACCCAGTAACCAAGTGACTTTTTCTGTGTTTTCAGTGTGAGAAAGATATCAAGTGTGCTTGGGATTTCTGTAGACAATGGTAAGATTCAATCAGGTCGGGTGCTTCACTTGCAACCAAGACCTTTTCCTTCATCTTGCCTTCCTAACTGCGGGCTTCCCTAACTTCACCAGAGACTCTCTGCTAGTTGGTGGGACCATCTTTTTCACCTGCTCTATCGGTCACCCAGATAGCTTCATGCGCTGTTCCTAGACATTTCGGTGTTAAACTACCTAAGACTTTCTCACGGCAGAAAACCTGAAAGGTTCCAGCCCTGCTGCACATAGTGGCTAATATGCCATCTGGGAGTCCCGCTTCTGTTCCTGACGGTTTCCCAAGACTGTCCCTCTTCTCTCCAAGCATGGCGTAGCTAGTTCCTGTCTTAGAAAATCACAGGCTCTCATTCCCATTCCGTTAATACACGCCTGTTAATATCTGCCATCGTCTCTAATCACGGTGATCCCACCCACTGTGGTCGTCACACCTTAACTTCATGTGGCAGTGTAGACACCATATTCACACCAGCTTGTGATTGAACTAGTCCCGAGGAGGCTGACATGGCGTGGGATGAAAGCACAGCAATGCATCTGTTAGGTGTGGTAGCACTCAGAGGCAGAGCAAGGAGAGCCTACTCTGTAGAGCGAATTCCAGGCCAGCCCAGGTTACACGGTGAAACCCTGTCTCAAGAACACACAGAGAACTAGAGATGGTGCAGAGGACCCGGGTTCAAGTCCTGGCCCCCACGTGGTGGCTCAGACCCATCTGTAACTCCAGCCCCGGGGACTTCCGGTCTCACACATGGTACACGGACATGCACACAGACAAAAGATCCATACACATAAAATAAATGAACAGATACTTTTTTTAATGCACAAAAGGTAAAGCAGCAGAGCAATACACTTTCCACACTTCCACCTGTAAACTGAAAGCTACATCCTCACCCCAGGCTCCAGCCTTCCCCTAGCCAGGGCGACGTCCGTCTGCACCCTCCAGACTGAGCCTCCAAATTCTGTACGATGCACATTTATGAGACATTTTTAACCCTTTGTAAGGCTGGAAAAACAAGGGGTTAAAGCAAATCGAAACAGGAGCTTTGATATTTGTCCTTTTCGTTTCCTGTTTCGCAGTAGAATACAGTCCCCTGTGGCACGCTGGACTGTTGGAGTCCACTTTTCCCAGATCATTTATATAACAGTAGTTTACTCTCCAGGGAGATATGCGTAGAAACGTTGGAGGGTCCTTACAGAAGCAGAGGAAGGCCTCGTCCCAGTCACAGGCACTATCAGCACCTGCGGCAGCTGGTGAGGGCAGCTGGGCAGGACAGGATGATGCCGCTAAGCCTTGGGGCTGAGCTGCCTTCTTCTCCCCTTCCTGAAGCCACGGAGAAGGCAGTACCTCCCTGCTCCCACGTGGACATCTTTTCCCATCAGTTTTTAGTGGCACGCTGTCCTCAGTCACACTCTTCTCCGCCCTGTCCTCCGGTCCCTCCGGCCTTTGCCTGTGTCTGCAGTCCCTCCTGCCCAGCCTGTTCTGTTTGCTGAGCCGCCTCTCCCGGGCCTCAGTCTGTCTCCTGAGCTCTGTTTAGGTGGCTTTACCCTTTCCCACCACCACCAGCTCCATGAGGAACTTGGCCAAACATGCAAAGAGAATGAATGTCTGCTGCATTACGTTATATGGCGCGTATGTGCGCATGCATAGCTGTATGAACGGCGTGTGTGCACACATGCCTGTCCTCTATCTAGGCTTTCAGCAGCAACTGGGGCCATGCGTGCCCGTTTACTGCTTACACAGTGCCTTCTGTTAGTCCAGCCAGCATGACAGAGCCCATAAGTGAACAGACTGCTGGGGACTCTCTGGGGCCATTTGTTCCCTTTTGTGAGACCTCCTCGTGGCCGGCAGGGGGCAGCAGAGGCCTGTGACAGGCCTGCCTGTTTGTGAACCTCCCTCCTGGACTCCTGTGTGCGGCCTGTGGAACACCAGCCTGAAGGCTGTGTGTGTTACGAGGTCCCCGAGATGGACGAGATGGAGCCCCTCTGCAGTGACCCGTCGCTGCAGGGTGAAAGGGGCAGTTCCTGCTTCAAGTTGGTCATCTTGGCGTCCGTCCTTAGAAAGGACATGGGCACGTATGACACGGTCTTCCAGTGGTTTCACAGTTAGAGGCTTGTATCTAGTGCTATTTTCAGACTTAGCCAGGCCTTACTCTATGCTATTCCTCAAGAGAAAGCCGATACCATGATAGCCCTGTGAGATGGTCCTTCATGGACGAAGGCCACCGATACCTCTGAGCATGTTCATTTCCTTATGTGAATGGGGCCAGTAAACTGTATGTCCTTTTCCAGTAGACTATTATTCTTTATTTTATAAGCCCAAGTCATTTGTGGAAAAACCTTGTTAGTAATTAAGTGGCAGGGGCCGAATAACTATTAATCACTGTTATTCTTTTGCATAAAATGTATTGACACTTCATAAAGCCACATAGATGCCTTTATTGGCAGCTTTCTAGTTGAGGGCCTCAGGGAACTCCTTGTCATTCCTGTTTCTTTACATCCCCAAACTGTTTTCCTGGCTTTGTGCTGCGATCGAGAACAGCAAACAGCCAAGATAAAAGTACAGATTTTGGGTCCTTAGAGGAAGGCCGCCTGGGAAATGGAGGCACAGCCCGGGAGACTGTCTGCCCGGCCTTCCACCTCCCGGGCCCTACATCAGGAAGGAGTGCGTGGCTGTGGGACGTCCACTGTGCCCAAACCACTCTGATAGGATGGGTTTGTAAACTACCGTGGGGATAATGAAATTTGGCACAAGACACGCAGGCATCCTCTTCCTGGATGCCTTTGAGATTTTAAAGCACATCTTGGATCTGGGGTGACGGCTGCATTAATGACGTGTTTGTTGTGCAAGCGTGAGGACCCATGAGATTCCAGTGTGTGTGTGTAGGCTGCTGTGTATCCATAACCCCAGGCGTGGCTGTGGAGGTGGGTGGACCCTGGGACTCGCTGGCCAGCAGTCTAGCCCAAACAGCAAGCCCCAGGCTGCTAGGAGGCCATGACTGAAGAAGTAAGCTGGAGCTGGGGGAGGAGGAAGTCAGCTGGAGCTGGGCAGTGGGCTGCTCAGCGGCTGAAGGACCTGTTGGCGCTGCCGCCCGACTCTGGGCTCCAGGGTCCACGTGGTGAGCAGGGAGCCCGTTGTCCTCCACACCTGTGCACCTCTGCTGGCATTCAAGCAAGAACCACACTCTTAAACTGTCTTAATGAAGACACTCCGAGCGTGCCCGCACCACACAAACACTGCTCTAAAATGAAGACGTCTCACTGTAGGTGCGGCAGCGGGTGATGTTTTTATAGGTCTGAGCTGTGAAGGCTGAGGACGCCTAAGCCAGCCCCCCCACAACAGGCCACCCAAAGATGTCACCCCTGGAAACACTGCTCCCTCCTGCAGGCTGAGCAGGCCAGGCTGGAAGGAAGCCACACCATGCCGCAGCGCGCTACTGCCCCCTAGTGGAACCTGTAGTGCCCACATTACATTCCTCACCTTAAGAGCTGAGCCTGGGGCTGGGACATTGCCAGGGGCTACTTGCTGCTGGTCAGGTGAGGGACCTGAGTCTGGTTTCCAGAACCCACAATAGAGCAAAGGCAGCCTGTGGTGGTGGCAGCACCCGTGTGAGCCCTGGACGGGGAGCATGAAGACTAGCCAGCCTTCATGCTTGGTGACACACCCTGACGCAGAGAGTAGCTAGCAGCCTGATAAACACCTGAGGCGGAGGTCCTGGGTGAGGCCAACTCATACTCAGCCAGCTGTCTCTGAAGAGGGTGACTAACCATTCCGCTTTCTCTGCTCTTTAATGTGGGTGCTGACACCTTCCTCGTGAGACCTTCTGTGACTGAGGACAGTCTGAGCGGCCCTTCGTCTTTGGGGATTTTAACAGATGAGCAGCACTTTAAGGGCCCCGCAGAGCCCTGAGCTCAAGCTCAGGAAGCCGTGCAGGAAGCCGTGGCCAGGAGGACCTCTTATTTGTTTGTCTTTTTTTTTTTTTTTTTTTTTTTTTTTTCCAGATTTCCCTATGGCCCAGACAGAGGCAGGCTCATGCCTCCACAAATCTCACTTAATCCTTTTCCTTTGGATTTTAATTTTTGTGACTTCTAAGTAATTTTCTTTTTTTTTTTTTTTTTTGCTAATGGCCAGAATGGGTGGGCTTCGTGTGACATTTTCATGCCTGTATGTCATTATACTGTGCTCATATTTGTACCCCAGCACCCGTCCTCCTCCTCCTCTTACCCCATTTTTATTGGTCCCCAGACCATGGGTAGATGGCATTGAGGTCTGACAGCCAGCATAGAGGAATCTTGTCATTACTGTGTCTATGCGTGTGACAGGTCTGTCAGGTAGCCTGGCACGTTGGCTCTGCTCTTAGCACAACAGCACGTGTTCAGTGCTGCTTGTTCCCAGCTTTGGGGCCAGGAGCAGGTCACTGTTATAGGGCTTGCTCACTGGAGGCCATCTCACTGGTAATGGCTGCCTGAATGCCCATAGTGTGACTTTTATAGAGAGACAGGGACAGCTCTCTGAAGAGAAAGAAGTCAAGTAACCATGTTTCTTTCAAATTCTTAGCGCAGACCACGGCTCCTGGGAGCAGGCAGCGGCTTCCTTAAAAGTCCCTGTGAGCTGTCTGCATAGTTTTGGCTGGCCTGGTCACAGGGGTTGATCTGTCTTGGTCCTCTCTTTCCGTAGTTTGTAGCCCCTTAACAGTAGTGATGTCCTTCCTTCTTTCTCTCTCTCTCTATCTTGTCACACCCCATCCACCACAGGAATGTCTTGGCTTGTGCAAAGGCAGTACAGATGGCATTAGTACCCCCAAATACTACTTGCTCAAAAATGAACAAAGGATTGGAATTAACATGGTGTCCAACACATTCTGTATCTTCCCAAGGAGGGAGACAGCCCCAACACAGGGAGAGAGAAGCACAGATGGAAAGGCCCAGAGCCACCTGGTGGAGGCAGTGTTGGATGATTACACTTGACAGAGCTCGCAGGATGGCTTCTGTGGCTTTAAAAGCTCTCTGCAGCATTTCCTTCAGTTAGAATAAAGTCCTACTATTCTCTTTCCTCCTATTTGCCTGTGTCAATCCTCTGATACAGTAACCCAAATAGGAATTTGGGGTGTGGGTTCTGGGGGGCGGCACTCAGTTCCCATTAATAGTCTCAAGGAGATTGTGTGGGTGTTCTGTGCTTTATTTTCCGATCATGAGCTAATGTCTCCCTCTCTGGAGTCTCAAATGAGCAAACGGCAGGTATTGCTCAGTCGCTCCTTGGAGAGTCATTGCACTGTGCCGTGTTGTGTTGCCATCTTTTTGCTGGACACCATGGTAACATCTTTACATCCTCTCTGTTTCTGCTAACGCACTCCATTTCATAACTTAATATCTCAAATTGTATGTCAAACTGCATTTATATCATTACTAAATTGATTTTGCAGCCACTGTTGAAGATTGCAGTTTATGTTTAAATTGTGTGTAATGAAGCTGAGTTACATGACACGTCCTTCTGGCTCTCTCCTTTCCGTAGGCATCTCTTCTCAATATATTGGCTTTCATGCTCTTTATTAAAGCAAGTGGAAGACTATTTGCAGAACAGTCAACTCTTGATTATCAGTTATGATGCCAGCTAAATTTAGGCCTTGGTACTAGCAGCATAATGCTCTGTGCTGCTCATTTTGTACCAGGCACCTGTGTAGGGCCCGGCAGTACCAACGCCTGTGTCCTTGCTGCAGCTCTTGGACGTGTGGATTCCTTAATCCCTGTTCTACAGATCGGGCTGCAGAGTGGGAAGAGGTTAGCCCACTTGCACAAAGCGTATGCAGACAGAGAGGTCCAGCTGGGCTGAGTGACAGCCCCATCCGGATGTCAGGTTCCTTTCACCTGCTTCCGAACGATGCATATCTTACTGCCTTATGGACGTCAAGCCCTGGGGCTTATCTACACCCCGTTTCTTGTCCACAGAAAGTGTTTAACAAGGCGCTGCCGAGGACCGGGTGATAATATGACGTTTCCGTCTCCTCGGCCAGCATGCTGAAAAGGGCTGCTGCCCTCACGGAGCCTCCACACTTAGAGTGACAGTTATGAATGGAAACATTGTTACTGCTCCCCACTGAGGCAGGGGGAGATGGCCCTGAAAGGAACCTTATATAAATAATCAAAAGTTGACTGTCACTGCGCAACCCCAGCTGCTGCCTGAACCCCAGACAGTCATGCTGTGTTCATTCACACAGGCTATGGCCACTCAGAGGCAGACGTCATTCACCAGTCGCTCCTGGAAGCCAACATCGCTGCTGAGGTGTGCCTTACGGCTCTGGACACGCTGTCGCTGTTCACGCTGGCTTTCAAGGTTTGTGTGACGCACTGCTCATGGCCACAGGTCTCCACCTAATCTATCTATCCATCCTGTTAAGCCCAACGAACACACGTGTGTGACTTTTCTTCAGCTGCTTTTGCTTCTGTAAGGACACTGTGAATCTCCAGGGTCCTTTAGTGACCTTTCCCTTCGAGAGTGGAGCTGTTGCTTTTGTTCTGTGTGGAGAGACATGGCCAGCCCACGCGTGCTGCTTGCGTGGAGACGCCAGAGGCTGTCCCTGGGTCAGCTGTTGCGGCTAAAGAAAGCATTTACCCTAAGTGCTCCCACGGGTACTGGAAACCTAACCAGGCATTTCTGCTTTGAATATCTTCAAACACAGCCAAATGTCTTAAATTAAATATTTAAAGAGAGAGGCGCAATTAAGTATAAACTCATCTTTTTCAGAGTATTTACTTATTACTAAATTAAATGCAAGAGCATGTCATGAACAAAGAGGTGAAAGTTTTGGTCTTGATTTTAAATTTAGCAATAAGTCATTGATGCACACTCAAGCTTCCTCCTCCTCCTCCTCCTCCTCCTCCTCCTCCTCCTCCTCCTCCTCCCCCTCCTCTTCTGCTGCTTCTTTCTGCTTCTGCTTCTCCTTCTCCTTCTCCTCCTTTTTCTTCTCCTCCTTCTTCTTCTTCTTTATCCCGTCCTTTTCTCCTCCTTTTTCCCCTCCTTTTTCTCCTCCTCCTCTTTCTCCTCCTTCTTTTTTCCTCCTTCTCCTTCTTTCCTTGCTACAAGACCAAACCCAGTTTTAAAATAAGTTTTGAGTTAGTATACAAAGTAATGGTTTTAATTGTGATGTTTTTATGCCTGGATGTCACTGTACCATGTTCTGTGTTAGGAGCCTAACATTTTCCAGTCTCACTTAACAGTCCCTTCCATTTCTAGTACAGAAAGAAGAAATTGAATGTTACTGTCTGTGACTGGAACCATGTGTTCCATTTTCAGGGTCTTAGGGAAGTGTCTGTTGTCTCTTGTTTTGAAGAACACTTCCGGGCAGGGCTTAGCTCCGCTGTTACCACACCCACCTAGAATGTATGAGGCCCTAGGTTTGACCACCAGCACCTCCGGAACCAGCTGCTGCTTGCGTGTAATCTGTCACTTGGGAGATGGAGGTGGAGGATCACAAGTTCAAGGTGATCCTTAGCTACCTAGAGATTGAGGCCAGCCTGGGCTACATGAGTCTACCCCGGAAAATTGTTTTCTCTTCACAAGACACAGTAAAAAAACGACAGCCCAATATCATGTGACTTTGCTGTAGTGTGTCCTTAGGCGCCAAGACATCCATGTTGGCCACTAAGCGTGTAGTTGAAACAGAGGGAAATGCCCATACTCAGCAGATGTGGGGATCAGCCTGTGCCTGCATAGAGCGCCTCTGCTGTGGTGTCACTCCTGGGGACTTGCTGCAGTGTCCTAAACTCTAGTCATGCTGTCTAAACCCCACAGTCTGAGAAGCACAGAAAGGTCTTGGCCTCCCACCCCCAACATTGTTAGGGTAAATGTCTGTCACCAAAGGTTCTGAATGTTGAGAGCGTTGAGTGTGTTCAGGGTGAGTGTGCCTTGAGTCTGTGCTGCTGCAGATCCTTCAGGCCAGGGCCGCAGTGGCGGCCTGGCTCTTTGCTCTCTGCCTGGACCCTGCGCCATCAAGAGGCAGAGTCCGAGGAAGGAGTGTGCAGAGCACACACAGACAGAAAGGCTGCCCGCACAGCCCACGAGCAGCATGATGCCCCTCCCTCCGTGCAGCTGACAGCTGAGAGCACTGTGGCCGGGCGGGACTTCTCCGTGCTGGCATTTCTGACCTCAGCTCGTGACAGTGAAGCGCAGTACAGTTTAAGAGCTGCTGTGTCAAGGGTGAGGCCATGGGGCTTGCTTCCCTGTGCAGATCCACGTGAGTTTACGTGACGCCTGACCACAGCTTGCCCCCGCTGTCCCTCCGTGGTCTGATTGCTCCGTGCCCGGGAAGCAGGCTAGGGAGGGACCTCGATCTCGGAGGACAGGACTCGGTCCTTATTGGCATTGTTCCCAGCCACCGTTCACTCACACCTGTGATGGTAGTCCGTGTTAGAATTCCGGATTTGTGGTTAAAATGAGTGCGTGGAAAGCCAGCCGTGGTGGGCAGCTGTGCTAGAACCCCTACCCGCAGAGGTGGTGTCCCCTCTTGCTTGATCCAGAGCCATTCTGTGCTTTCCCTGGGGCACACGGACAGAATGTGTTGTCTCATGTTCGGAAGTGTGCTGTGCGTGTGTAACAGCAGCTGCGTCACGGGACCTGTCAGGTGCTGGGCGTGTCTCACACCAGCGTCACTGCGTTTTCAGAACCAGCTCCTGGCCGACCATGGGCACAACCCTCTCATGAAGAAAGTCTTTGATGTCTACCTGTGTTTCCTTCAAAAACACCAGTCAGAGATGGCTTTGAAAAGTGTCTTTACCGCCTTAAGGTCGCTGATTTACAAGGTAAGCTGCGCCAGGCCGTGCTCGGGATTCTCGCTGGCCGGGGCTCAGCGCCTCCAAGCACCGAGCTCACCGCGCCGGCACCCTGGGCGTGTTGCAGTTCCCCTCCACGTTCTACGAGGGACGAGCAGACATGTGCGCCTCCCTGTGCTACGAGGTGCTCAAGTGCTGTAACTCCAAGCTCAGCTCCATCCGGACCGAGGCCTCGCAGCTGCTGTACTTCCTCATGCGGAACAACTTCGACTACACGGGGAAGAAGTCCTTCGTCCGCACACACCTGCAGGTGCGCACGCGTTCACTCCGCCAGGGACAGCACGCCGACGGTCGCCCTGACGACACCCCTCCTCCACCCACTCACCGAGGCCCCCAACCCTCCTCCTCCAGGTCCTCCTCCTCCACCTGCTCACCGAGGCCCGGACACCCTCTTCCTCCCGTTCCTCCTCCTCT